TTCAGATTCATCTTTCTGCAAGTGGAGATCCAGTTTTGCCAGCAACATTTGCTGAAGAGATTTTCCTTTTCCCACTGGATTCACTGGTACTCCTTGTTAAAAATCAGTTGGCTGTATATTTGAGCATTCATTTCTGGGGACTCTATTCTCTTCCATTGGTCCACCTGTCTGTTTCTGTGCTAGTACCATGCTGTTTTGATTACCACAGCTTTGTAGTATATATTTGAGTCAGGGAGTGAGATGCCACCCATTCCGCTCTTCTTGTGCAGATCTGCTTTGGCAATACAGGGTCTTTTTTGATTCCAGACAAACTTTATGATTGTCTTTCCTAGATCTGTGAAAAATGTGTCTGGTACTTTGATTGGCATTGCATTAAATAGGTAGATTAATTTGGGTAAAATTGCCATTTTGATTATATTAATTCTTCCAATCCAGGAACATGGGATGTCCTTCCACTTTTTTGTTTTATTTTCAATTTCTTTTTTTATCTTCTCATACTTTTCCTTGTGGAGATCTTTAACTTCTTTGGTTAGATTTATCCCTAAGTATCTTATACTTTTTGTGACTATGGTAAATGGAACAACTTTTTTCAGTTCTATCTCAGTCTGCCTGTTGTTCGTATACAGAAGTGCTTTACTGTGCAGAAATTTCTTAATCTGATGTAATCCCACCTGTCTAACATGACGATTATTGCCTGTGCTTTGGGGGTCTTTGTTAAGAAGTCTTTGTCTGCCCCAGTGTCTCCCAGTTTCCCCAGTGTTCTACACCAGTAGTTTTATAATTTGTGGTCTTAAGTTTAGATCATTGATTCATTTTGAGTTGATTTTTGTTAATGGTGATAGATAGGAGTTCAGAATCACCTTTCTGCAGGTAGATACCCAGTTTTTCCAACACCATTTGCTAAAGAGGTTTTCCTTGTCCCACTGGATTGACTGGTAACTTTTGTCAAAGATGAGTTGGTTGTATGCTTTGGGGCTTATTTCTGGAGTCTCTGCTCATAATACCAGGGTATTTTAAAATCATGATTCTAGACCTGTCTAACTACTTATGGTGCATGGAGGGTTGGCAGGAGATGACAATATAAGACAAAAGATAAAAGAGTATAAAAGAGAATAAAGAAAGTGTGCAGTGCACAATTTCGTCGGGGGTCTGGAGATGGAAATGGGCTCTGCTGAAGAGCTGGGGGCAGTCCTGTGGGGTAAGGAGAAATGGGAAATTCTTTAGTCATATTCTAAAAGAAATTGGTCATTTTCTCCATGTATTAGTGATCCTCTTTTAAAATCATCTCTGGCTTTTTACCCCTGGGCCAGGAACTTCGAGGGAGGACTGGCCCCCATAACTTCAGCCCAGGGACCCCCAAGCTAGACACCCCTCTTTTACCAAGGTACGCTCTCAACCTTACCACACCACACTCCCATCTTTTGACACCCTGGGCCAGGAACTTTGAGGGAGGACTGCCCCCCGTTGCTTCAGCCCCAGGACCCCTAAGCCAGACACCCCTCTTTCAGCCAGGTACACTTTTTTTTCTTTTTTTTTCCTTTTTTTTCCCCTCTCCCCTTCTTCTCATCTTTCATTTGTAAACTTCTCTCTTTTGATTAACACATAGGAATGCCCTCATTCCCATCCCTCCCGGGCCCAGGAAGGCCGGGGTCCAGCCTCTGCAGGGCTGGGTAGACTCGATGGAGGCGGCGCTGGAAAGGAAGACTAAGGTCTCAGTGCCTTTTCATGCATGTCCTCAGCTGGACACTCGCTCTCTGAGGAGTGACAACTGTTAGGAATCATTGTGCCTTGTTATTGAAAATGTGATACATATAAATAAACAAGTAGGGGGTACATGTTCTAATTATCAATTCATAAAGTTTTAACAATGGAGACCATTCAGGGTTTGATTAAGAGCAGGTCTATTAATCATCAACACAGTTCAACAATTCTTTGATTGATGAAAGCAGGTTCCTGGTAACTTCAAGCAGTGCAGTTTAAGGAAACAATTCCAGCAGAGTTAGCTATCAACCGATGTTCAGCAGCAGCCGTCTTATGATTACTAAAAGAAAATCTCAAGCATAGATATTAGTTCTTATGGATTTTCATAAAGAATGATACTTATATAATTCTACAGAGATCTAAAACTTAAGGAATTCTAATATATTTACCTATCCTGAAGGGGTAAAGTTATTATTCCCTTGGTGAGGGTGGGGACAGTTTTTTCAACTGGTGGTAAAGTGACTAATAAGTTAATGAAAAACTTTAAAAGGGGTTTATGGTGTTGTGGATACACTTGTGTAGCCCATGGCACCACTGTTGTGTATTTTGTTAGAACATTAGTTACCATGGGAAGAGAGTGTCCTGGGCCAGTTTTGGCCCAGTCCTATTGTATATAAAAAGGTTATTTATAGTAAATGTGTCTTGAAGGGCCTTCCAAAGATCAAGAAGAACTTTAGCACACCCTTAATTGTGCCCAATGAAGCACTGTAATTAACAGTAAGTGGTCAGGGTAAAGGGGACCGGTCAGGGGACTTTTGGGAAATCTTACCACACAGATGTATGAGAGAACTATAAAATTCTTTTATAGTAGTATATCGGGGAGTCAGAGGGGGGTCACTTCCCAGCAAGGCTACCACAGTCCTGGAGCGAATAGCAAGCGGACCTGTCAATGTGCGAATTGACCCAAGCATTGTTCCAAGGTCGGGGGAGTACAGTAGCGGCCTTGCCAACATACTGAACCAACCAGAAGCGGAGCTCAAAGGTCAAAGGGCTCAGTGCGGTCCTGGAGCCCCACCAGGTCGGACTCCTCCACAAGAACTTAGGCGGGGGGAACTGCCCCCCATAGCTTCAGCCCTGGGACCCCCAAGCCAGACATCCCTCATTCAGCCAGGTACACTTTTCTTCTTTTCTTTCCTTTCTTTTTCTCTCCTCTTCCACTCTTTGTCCACTTGTAAATTTCACTCTTCTGATTAACACCTGAGAACGTCCTCAGGCATACCAAACCACACTCCCATCTTTTTTTTTTGGAGAGATTTTCACTGTAGGGTGCATGCGCTCGCCAGACAGACAGAGAGAGACATAGAGACAGAAAGCGAGAAATCACCCCCCAGAGGGGATGGTCACGCTGCAATCCCTTCTCCTCCATTCTCCTCTCGGGATCTTGGGCACGCACGCACACGTGCCCGGCGTGAGTTTTTTTTTAAGCCACCGGGTCCGGGACACGAACTGCGGTCGACCACGTGGGAATCCAGTGACATAGCCATTACGCTAACTGCTGATTCCCCACACTCCCATCTTTTGACCCCTGGACCAGGAACTTCGAGGAAGTACTGCCCCCACGTAGCTTCAGCCTTGGGATGCTCAAGCCAGACACCCCTCTTTCAGACAGGTACACTATTTTTCTTTTTTTTCCTTTATTTTTCTCTCCACTTACCCACGTCTTACATTAGTAAATTTCTCTCTTCTGATTAACACATAGGAAAGCCCTCAGTCCTAACACACCACACTCCCATCTTTTGACTCCTGGGTCAGGAACTTTGGGGGAGGTCTGCTCCCCCCCCCCCCCCCCCCCCCGTAGCTTCAGCCCGGGACCCCCAAGCCAGACACCTCTCTTTCAACCAGGTACACTTTTTTCTTTTTATTTTTTCCTTTCTTTTTCTCTCCCCTTCAGTTTGTCTTTCATTTGTAAATTTCTCTCTTCTGATTAACAAATAGGAACGCCCTCAGTCCTACCAAACCACACTCCCATCTTTCAACCCCTGGGCCAGGAATTTCAACTGCCCCCAGTAGCTTCAACCCCAGAACCCCCAAGCCAGACACTCCTCTTTCAGCCAGTTATATATATTTTTCTTTTTTTACTTTCTTTTTCTCTCCACTTCACTTCATCTTTCATTTGTAAATTTCTCTCTTCTGATTAACACATAGGAACACCCTCAGTCCTACCACACCACACTACCATATTTCGACCCCTGGGCCAGTAACTTTGAGGAAGGATGGCCCCCCATAGCTTCAGCTCTGGGACCCCCAAGCCAGACACCCCTCTTTCACCCAGGTACACTATCATTTTTTTTCCTTTCTTTTTCTCTCCCCTTCAGTTTGTCTTTCATTTGTAAATTTCTCTCTTCTGATTAACACATAGGAACGCCCTCAGTCTTACCACACCACACTCCCAACTTTTGACACCTGGGCCAGGAACTTCGAGGGAGGACTGCCCCCCATAGATTCAACCCCGGGACCCCCAAGCCAGACATCCCCTTTCAGCCAGGTAATTTTTTCTTCTTTTTTTTTCCTTTCTTTTTCTCTCCCCTTTCCTTTGTCTTTCATTTGTAAATTTCTCTCCTCTGTTTAACAGATAGGAACGCCCTCATTCCTACCACACCACACTCCCATCTTTTGACACATGGGGAAGGAACTTTGAGGGAGGACAGCCCCCCCCGTAGCTACCACCCTGGGACCCCAAGCCAGACACCACTCTTTCAGCCAGGTACACTTTTTAAATTTTTTCCCTTTCTTTTCTCTCCCCTTTCCCTTGTCTTTCATTTGTAAATTTCTCTCTTCTGACTAACACATAGGAACGCCCTCAGTCCTACCACACCATACTCCCATCTTTCGTCCCCTGGGCCAGGAACTTCGAGGGAGGATTGCCCCCTGTAGCTTCAGTGCCAGGACCTCCAATCCAGACAGCCCTCTTTCAGCCAGGTACACTTTTTTCTTTTTTTTTTCTTTTTCTCTCCCCTTCCCTTTGCCTTTCAATTTTAAATTTCTCTCTTCTGATTAACACTTAGGAACACCCTCATTCCTACTACACCACACTCCCATATTTCGACCCCTGGGCCTGGAACTTCGAGGGAGGACTGCCCCCTTATAGCTTCAGCTACCAAACCCCCAAGACAGACACCCCTCTTTCAGGCAGGTACATATTTTTGTTTTTCTTTTTCATTTCTTTTTCTCTCCCCTTTCCCCATCTTTCATTTGTTAATTTCTCTCTTCTGATTAACACATAGGAACGCCCTCAGTCCTACCACACCATACTCCCATCTTTCGTCCCCTGGGCCAGGAACTTCGAGGGAGGATTGCCCCCTGTAGCTTCAGTGCCAGGACCTCCAATCCAGACAGCCCTCTTTCAGCCAGGTACACTTTTTTCTTTTTTTTTTTTTTTCTCTCCCCTTCCCTTTGCCTTTCAATTTTAAATTTCTCTCTTCTGATTAACACATAGGAACGCCCTCAGTCCTACCACACCACACTCCCATATTTCGACCCCTGGGCCTGGAACTTCGAGGGAGGACTGCCCCCTTATAGCTTCAGCTACCAAACCCCCAAGACAGACACCCCTCTTTCAGGCAGGTACATATTTTTGTTTTTCTTTTTCATTTCTTTTTCTCTCCCCTTTCCCCATCTTTCATTTGTTAATTTCTCTCTTCTGATTAACACATAGGAATGCCCTCAGTCCTACCATACCACATTACCATCTTTTGACTCCTGGGCCAGGAAATTCAATGGAGTACTTCCCCCACCCCCATAGCTTCAGCCTTGGGACCTCCTAGCCTGACACCACTCTTTCAGCCAGGTACACTTTGTTTCTTTTTTTTCCTTTCTTTTTCTCTCCCCTTCCCTTCATCTTTCAATTATGAATTTCCCTCTTCTGATTAACACATAGGAATACCCTCAGTCCTACCACACCACACTCCCATATTTCGACCCCTGGGCCAGAACTTCGAGGGAGATCTGCCCCCCTATATCTTAAGACCCGGTACCTCCAAGCCAGACACCCTTCTTTCAGTCACTTACAGATTTTTCTTTTTTTTTTCCTTTCTTTTTCTCTCCCCTTCCCCTGTCTTTCATTTGTAAATTTCTCTCTTCTGATTAACACATAGGAATGCCCTCAGTTCTACCACAACACACTCCCATCTTTTGACCCCTGGGTCAGGAACTTCAAGGGAGGACTACCCCCTGTAGCTTCAGCCCCCCCGGGACCTCCAATCCAGACACCCCAGAACCCCTCTTTCAGCCAGGTACACTTTTTTTCTTTTTTTTTTTCTTTTTCTCTCCCCTTACCTTTGCCTTTCAAGTTTAAATTTCTCTCTTCTTATTAACATTTAGGAGCACCCTCATTCCTACTACACCACACTCCCATATTTCGACCCCTGGGTCAGGAACTTCGAGTGAGGACTGCCCCCCTTATAGCTTCAGCTACCGAACCCCCAAGACAGACACCCCTCTTTCAGGCAGGTACACATTTTTTTTTCATTTCTTTTTCTCTCCCCTTCCCCTGTCTTTCATTTGTTAATTTCTCTCTTCTGATTAACACATAGGAACGCCCTCAGTCCTACCATACCACATTACCATCTTTCCACTCCTGGGCCAGGAACTTCAATGGAGTACTCCCACCCCCAACACCCCCCGTCCCTGTAGCTTCAGCCTTGGGACCTCCTAGCCTGACACCCCTCTTTCAGCCAGGTACACATTTTTCTTTTTTTTCCTTTCTTTTTCTCTCCCCTTCCCTTCGTCTTTCAATTATGAATTTCCCTCTTCTGATTAACACATAGGAACGCCCTCAGTCCTACCACACCACACTCCTATCTTTCAACCCCTCACAGTATCGCGCACTGCACTAGTGCGCAGTGCTCAAATTTTTCTTTATTCTACGTATTATTTTCTTCCTAGTTATTCAGTGCTCAACTTCCTTTATCTACACCATCCCTGGCTGTTTAGATAGGTTTAGAATTACAATTCTGAAACATTCTTTTATTTTAAGACTCTCTGGAATCCTCCCTTTCATGGAACCACCTGTGAAGAAGGAGATACATTTCTTTGTACACATGAAGAGAATACTTTTTCTTGGACTACATTACTAAACACAATTGAAGAGAGACTTTCCTGTCTCCATTGCACATCAGAAAGGAAACACACTTGCTCCTCTCTGAAGAAACGTTCTTGTAAAAGGTTTGTCAAAGGGAACACATCTCCCAATGGTTAGAAGTAGAAGAACCTCAGGCCTGAATGAAGCAGGAAATAAGTCTCCATCAAAGGAACAAAGTAACTACCTTTCTTTTCTTGAAAAAATAGAGGACATTAACAAAATGTTCAAGACAGAGATTAGAACATTTATGTTGAACAAATACTATGAGCTGGAACAGAAAAGAGACAATGAACTACAGGTGATGAGAAAGTCCTTCAACGATATGAAGGAAGAAATGGACATGCTATGGAAGAATAAGACGGAACTATTAGAGGTGAAGTCTGTAATACAGGAAATCAAAAACTCTCTCGAAAATATTAAAAGTCGAGTAGACCATGCTGAAGGTCGAATCTCTGATGTAGAAGATAAAACTTCTGACCTAGAGAAAACCACCAAAAAGATAGAGAAAATACGAAAATTTCTACATTCCGTTAGACGTCCTAACATCCAAATAATTGGTATCACAGAAGAAGAAGAAACTAATAAGAGTATGGAAAACCTATTCCATGAAATCTTGGAAGAAAATTTCCCATGCATAGATAGAAAGGCACTCAAACATCGAGAACCAAGAAATACAAAGGACACCAAATAGAATCAACCCAAGAAGATCTTCCCCAAGGCATATCATAGCCAGACTGGCTAAGACCACAGATAAAGATAAGATACTAAAACTGGCAAGAGAGAAATGACAAGTGACTTACAAAGGTCACCCCATCAGGCTAATACCAGACTTCTCAACGGAAAAAATGCGAGCAAGTAAAGAATGGGAAGATGTATTGAAAGTGTTAAGAGAGAAACAATTTCAACCAAGATTATTGTATCCTGCAAGATTAT